TCACCTCGGCCGGGTCGGTTCGTGCCTGTCGTCCTGGTTCCGTGTGCTGACACAATTCACCTTTCCCACAGAACGGTGCTTTACAAAGACGATCTCCGCCCGAGGGATGTGTGGGGCTGAGTGATGCCACCCCAGGGGCCGTCTGTCTGTCTGTCTGTCTGTCTGTCCATCCGTCACATTGCCGCGAGCTGGAGGAGTGCCAGTGTGCTGGACCATATCGGAGCAGGACCTTCTGCTCACGGAGAGGTTTGTCTCCCACCGCTGCATGATGAAAGCGTGGGACAAGGGGCAATGGGTGTGAGCCGGAACACAGGAGGTTCCGCTTAAACTTGAGAAAGAACTTTCCTGTGAGGGTGACAGAGCCCTGGGACAGGCTGCCCAGGGAGGGTGTGGAGTCTCCTTCTCTGGAGACATTCAAGACCTGCCTGGACGCCTTCCTGTGTGATCTCGTTTAGGTTCCTGCTCCGGCAGGAGGATTGGACTAGATGATCTTTCGAGGTCCCTTCCAATCCCTGACATTCTGTGATTCTGTGAAATCCTACAGCCAACCAACAAATGTCATCTGAATGTACCTCCTTCCCTCTGGCCCCCCAGTGCCCAGCCGCTCGGCCTTCTACAGCAGCTCTTTGATGCTGAGGGCTAGTTTCAGCTTCATCGTCAACTTTTGGGTCAGTTAGCTTCATATTTGCACATTGACCTTCAGCAGAAGGAGTTAGGGTAAGTTAACATTAGAAACTTAAGTTTTCCAGCTTCTCACAAGAGGCACTAAGCCTATTTTTCTAGGTCTTAGACCATCACAAGGTCTAATATCCTGTATTTTGCACAAAATTCCTCAAATCTTAATTATAGAAGCTTCCTCTCCCAGTAGGAGCGCAAGATGAAAACCTGATGCTCCTTTTTGTTGAGGGAAGGTGAGTAGTGTTTGTCAGTATGCCACAATTCAGTTCAACGTAAGGAAAACTAAGCTAATTTTTGCTAACATTAAGAAATTTAGCACGAGGAAGAAAGTTATTTAATAAGTTCTTCTAAGGCTGCAGCTGGGAGAAAATCTCATGGGCTTATTGGTGTTGAGGAGCATGAATTCTGCCACGGAGCTGTGTTGCATGGTACACTCCAGCCCGAAAAACCAATGTAATGATGTTATTTTGAGCAGGGGTTGATTTGCATGACTAAGCTTCGTTTCTCGGCAGGTGTGGATAGCGTGTTTTGTCCATAATTGTTACAGATTGTTGAGTATGCTTTTTTTTTTATAAAAATGTAGGGACAGATATGATGATATCATGCATTTGTGTTTGTCTTTCCTCTGTAGCACAAGGGAGAAAATTGCCAATTCTGAAATAGTGAGTCCATTTGTTTAAAAAAACACCAACCAACAACCTTCTAAGGTATAAAAATACAAGATGTCCACTCTCCTCAGCACTAAAAAAGAAATGGCCTTCCATCAAAGAGGGGCAAATAAAACAGCAAGTTCTTTAAGTCACCTTCCAGGTGATCAGTTTTTCCCAGGATCTTCATGCAATCATCCTGCTGAGTCAAAAACACTGATGTGCAAACATGTTGGTGACAAAATTTCTTTCTAGCAAGTAAAATTAAAATAATTACTCCTCTTACTTCTGGTGGCGCAGAAGAGAGGACAACGAAGGGTGAATTTCCCAGTAAACTCAGAAGGGTGGTCTGTAGTTCCACCTCATCTAAATAGATGTGCTCTAAATAGATGTGTTGTGTTAGGTGTAGTTGATACAGGAACTGAAGTTAACTTGAAAAGACTCAGAACGTTGGGCTGTGGAGAATCCAAGGGTGTTTGGACAGCAAGAACAGTGTCAGATCTCAGTTTAAAGTAAGGGTCATCAGCCTTCTCCCGGATTCAGGTATCCTCCCGGCTGTGTTTCTGCAAAAATATGTCCTGATCTAATTAGGAAGTTCAAAGTGAGTGGAGAATTATGGGATTGTCCTTCACTTCCTTTCTCTTTAATGGTCCCATTGTGGGAAAGTGCTGATGGAGGTAGAGAATGTCTTTTGCACCCGATCAATTTACACCAGAGCCAACAGCATCAAAATGAAACTGAGGGTTCTGCTAGCACTTCTGAGAAATGCTGTCTGCTGCCAATAAGTTCATTTTTCATTCCCAAAGAAGAAACTAATTGCAAGAAAAGTAAGGGAGTGGAGGAAATTTGCAGGTCAGGAGACTGACAAGGTCTATGTAGATAATATGTCTGACCCCTGTAAGAGAAAAAACACTGTTACTTAGACTTGACACAGGCACTAAACTGTCAAAACACAGGCAGGCTTAGATGTACCATGGGCAGAAATGCAGGTGCCCGGGAACTCTTACTGTGGAAAACTTGGAAGGGTGATTCAGAGGATCTAAAATTTGGGCTTTGGGGCCCACAAGAGTATTTAAATACTTACACTCATCTTGTGGATCCAGCTTGTTAAAGGTTTGAATACTTGAATCTTTTTTTTTTTTTAACTTCTTGCCCCTCTTCCTCTGTTTCAGTTTTAGCAATGCTCTTTACCAATTTGGAGGTGTTCAGAGGGGCAATGAATTTTCCCGGAAAATAAGTTAATTAACCTTACAAATAATTATATGTTAATGTGTGTTTATGCTTTACTACATTACTTTGTAGCATTTGGATTACTTTATGTGACTAGAAGTTTAAAGGTTGCAAGATAGCAAGCATTACTGCATCAGGTGCTGTTTCTTGAAAAGAGATAAGATTGCTATCCCAAGTTTGCAAGAAGGTACACGAGGTTTAAAGCAGATGAAAGTGTTGCTGATCAATAGCAAAGGTCGGCAGTGGAGAATGGAGCCCTCATTTTGGATTTCAGTTCTTTTACTTTGAAACACAGAGCTCAGAGCTAGAGTCACTGAAATCTTAATTTTTCTCAGGAAATTAAGTGCCTGAGACTAATTTGTCTTTCCAACCATAAAGCAGAAATCACAGTGTTTTTTCACTTCTTACTAATGTCACGTGGCTAATTAACACCGTTTATGTACTTTTTGAGGAGGAAAGTAATACTGTTCTGTAAACAAAAACTAAACTTCTCAGGCCTCCCCTTATTGTGTCTAGTCTGTTGTGTTTGTATTTTATAGTATTAATATGAAGATCTTTTATTTCCAAATCTGTGTGGAAAGATTTCATGTTAAAATGAGTATCGTAGCAAGCTTGGATGTTGATTTGGAATATTGGCTACTCTCAGTTAATAAATAAAGTACACTCAACAAAACTGGAACCAAAAGCAGGATGAGTACAGGATATATTAAAAGCGAGTCACAAACAGAAACTGATACTGATTTGGCTATTTGTAATTGCTTTAGGACAAATGAAGAGAAAATGGGAAGAAAGACTGAAGAAAGTGGAAGAACTCGCATCTTACTATGAAAGAAACCCTCTTCCTCCAGTTTATAGACCAAAACTGTCCAAACCTTTTCTGCCATCCTCTGTTTGGAAAATATTTTGTCGTCAGGCTGAAGCTTTCAATTATGTCAAAACCTGCAAAGAGGTAAATTATTTGTTAGGTGAAAGTCTCTACTCTTTAGGAACTTTCAGGGTTGAACTTAACTTAAAAGTTAACAGTGAACAATCTTTATCAGATTGCAAGATTTTTATTTCTTTTTTTCTCGACAATCCTGAAAAATATTTTTTGTTGTTTTTTTGTCTTTGTAGGTACCTCCTCTACTGGAGGTAGCTCTAAGAAGTATTAGTTTTAACATACCAATTGATATGTGGTGTTAACCTCTAACAGTAAAAGTGCTTTTGAGTAACACTGTAGTGATAGATTTGTTCCTTCTGAAGATAAGGAAGCTGCAAGGTTGGCAGGAGAATAGCAAGGTAGTGAGAGTTGAGAAGGAAGAAAGAGGAGAAAAAAACTGAGGAAGAAAAAGAGATAAACAGGAGGCAGAGACAAAATAAAAACAATACAACTCTCCCAATACCATCAGAGTAGCAAGTTCAGATGATAAGAAATGATAAGCCAAATAAATGTTATGCAAAATGTATCCTCTGTTTTCAGTTCTCTGTGTTTAATACTTTTTAAATTGATTGCTGCTTTTAAAGAAAGTACCAGGGTTTCTTCCTGCTCTTTTAAGTGTTTAACTAATCCGAACTGTCAGTTTTCCAAAATGCACTCTCACTGACTTGGCACTGGGGTTTGTTTTCTTTTCAGATTTTCATTTTTTAAGCTTGGCACTGGGGTTTTTTGTTTGTTTTCTTTTCAGATTTTCATTTTTTAATTTAAATAATATAGAGTGTAAAGAGTATTTGCTATAGAGCCATATGCTGCCATTGTATCCATAAAATTGTCCCTTTCAGGACATTGTTCCTTCTGTTAGAATCACTTGCTACTGATCAGAAAAAAGATGACTTCACAGAGAAAACAGAGTTTACATTAATGCACAGCAAAGAAAAGCTTCAGATTTTTACTCATGTCACTGAAATCAGAATAATATTCTAAATTAAAAATTGATGCTACTTGGATTGAAAAAGGACAAGTGATCTGCTTACAGTTTTCTAATATTTACTAACCTTTCACCAAAGAAATGAATGTCAATTAGGAACTTCTGAAGACTTTAACTGGTTCTTTGAATAAAAAAACTTAAATGTTTTTATTTTAAAAGGATGTTCATGTATTTGCCTTGGAAAAGAACACACAAAGTGGACAGAGGTTTTACCTTGTGACAACATATAAAGAACTTTGGTTTTATTACACGTGAGTATTTGAAAAGGTACCCTATAGATTGCTATAAGATAGCAGTATGCTGGATATGCTATTACCCAGTCATAGCTATTACTGGATAGCTGTCCCCAGTAGCTGTCTGCTACTCTGACTGGCACAGAGCTGTAATGGGTGGCCTGGGGTTTGATCTTGGCCGTGGGGGAAGACTTCATAGGGACCAACCAATCTATTCTCTAGTGGGTTTCAACTTTTGAGTTGCAGACTGCTGTGGTATCCTGGGAATTGAGAACCCCTTTCTACTGAACTTAAATCTAATAGCAGCTATTTGCTTTTGCTGCCAGCTTTCCTCAGGGGATCATACCAATGTGTGATACAAACATATTTCTATAATTAGTCATATATCAATTTACATGGGCCTTAATATAAATGTATGGTTACCAATTTATGGTTTTGCATTTGCATGATGTAGTTTCAGGTACTGACAGTTTGATCATGTGCTGAACGTTTTTTCCCAATTTTTTGTTTTACAAAAAAATGTTTGGTTATGAACTAAAAGAAATCTAAGAGTCAATTTTTATATGAAAAATAAGCTTGCTTTTTTTTCTTAATTTGAAAATAAGGTTAATCTTTAATTTAGTTGGAAAAAAAATTATGTAACCTCATTTTTAGTGCTTAAGACATACGAGTGATAACTTACTAAATTTTTTACTGTAGTTTCCATCATTCCTTAAATTCTCAACAGCATTTCTGTTGACAGTATGTATTGTAAGACTTGGGGGAGATAAGGAGGATAATATTTTACAAACTTAAATTCTAGGCCAGACAGATGTCTTGGATATTTTATGATAAAGTTAGTTACAAATTTTTCAAAGCATTATAGGGCTGCTACTTTTTTTTTTTTTAATATGGGTAGTTGTTTGAAAAATAAGAGAATATTTAGGACTTGTGGCATCCTTGTTTGCAACTGATAAGTATGTCTAATGTTTATCATGAGAGGTTGTGATTTGTTTTTGTTTTTCCTTAGCAAAGGCTATAAAACAAGTCTTATGCATTGCTATGAAGTAATTCCTGAAAAAGATGCTTGCAAACTTTATTTTGATTTAGAGTTCTACAAACCAGCAAATCCTGGTGCAGATGGCAAGACTATGGTTGCAAAGTTAATTGAGGTAAACGAGCAAAGTCATGTTGTAGATTAATATGAATTTGTTGCTGATTTAATATGAAACCAAAGTATTTACCACTTTATCTTGATTATTCTGTAGTAAAATGAAAAATAGTTCTAGACCTAGTGGTTATTTTTAGTGAAGTAAAAGGTACTGGTTTAATTAAAGCAAAGATTCTCTCCTTCAAGTGAAAATTAAAAATAGAGAACGATGGTTGTTGGGATGCTTGTATTCACTGTAGGTTTGCTGGTATGGTATTTGCCTTTGCAGATTGTTTTATGTGCTCTGCCACTTCGAAGCTGTAAAACCGAAGGAGTGTTTAGTTATTCTTCAGAGTAGCATTGATAAAAGTTCCATTCAGATACTCCTCAGTTCATTTCCTTTGCCAGCTGGTGCTGTCATATATCAAGGCTTAGATAAATTCCTCCTGATTTTAGGTGTCTTCAGATGGAAGTTCATTACAGTTGAGTTAAATGATGATGTAGAGAACATCAGGTAACTGCACTTACTGACCTGGTACCTGAAGTTAAATACCTTTGCCAGTTACTAATTTTATTAAGTAGTGCAAATTTTAATTTTACTGCAAATGTGGTTGGAAAATGAGCTCCACTGCAAAGTTTTTTAGAATAATATTTTCTCTTCCAATAAATTCTCTTCGTGGGTGGCCATTTATTTGTGACACTTCTGATGCCTACATGTCCCTTGGTAGAATGGAAAGAAAGAAAGGAAGAAAGAAAGGAAGAAAGAAGGAAAGAAAGAAGGAAATAGAGAAGGAGAGAGAGAAAGAAAGAAAGAAAGATCCCAGTTGAGGTTGTTTGTTCATAAAGAACCCTTCATTGATACAGAATCTGGAGAGGTTTACTCCATCGCTGATTAATTCTGAAGTCTGGAGATTCCTCAGGTTAAGAAGAGAACTTTGGATTTGCTGGGTGAGGGATCTGAAGCTAAAATCCAAAGCTTCTGGACCCTTAGGTTCTGAGTCCCAGTCCTAAACATGACTAATCACAAGCTTAGCTTATAGAAGGTTTTCAGGGCTATTTAAGTAGATATCTTATGCTTTCTGGTTAGTTAGTGTTCAGTAGGTCATACCAATGAAGTAGCTAAATCATAACAGTGAATTAGCATACCAGCCCTTTATATCACGATAGCCTCTATCCCCTGTTCTAGGTAAGCCTGCATTACAAACATTGTCATTGTGGGTGTGAACTGCTTTGTGGTGGAAAAAACAGAAGATAAAGCCACTAAATTAGACTTTCACCTGAAAAACTGAAAATCTGCTCAGTCTATCACTGTTAGTATATTCAGTGACTTGCTTATTTCAGGAAATAGAGTCTATGTCAAATTTGGTTAAAATTTGTTATGTTATGAGTTAGTTTGAATTAAATTAATTGTTTGCTCAAAATGAGAAAAAAAACTTGAATAAAAGATGTGGAATCTGCATTTGTGTTGGGTTTTATAGATCTCACTATTAAAAATGGTAGATAAAATAGCCTAATTAACATTTATCATTTCAGCTTGTCAGCCAAAAATTAAAAGAACTTTATGATGTAAATTGTTCAGCCGAAGATGTCTTGAATTTAGATTCCAGTACTGATGAAAAATTCAGTCGACACTTGATATTTCTACCCCAAAAGACTGTATTTAAGGATAATATTCATGTTGGTAAGTGTGTTTCTTTCTCTTACACCTAGAAATAGAAGGTGAGATTTTGACTTTGTACAGTGCCAGCTCACACTGGAATATTTATTTTAATGGAATTATATGTGGAAACAAATATATATTCCCAGCAGAAATGACTACCTATTTCTATTTCATTAAGCTTCATTATTTCTCAACTCATCTTGTACTTCCTTTTTCTATAATTAGCATTTGTGTTTGCAAAAATGTAACTTTTTTGTGTCTGTATGTTTTGTTTATGAAACTCCTGGCAAGACTGGCTTTTGGCTTGAAAATTGTTTTACAGTATGACTATGACTCCTTAGTTTTCAGGTTGATGTCAGTCTTAACAATTGAAGCTAAGATTCTTGGCTCTAAATACAGTTGGTTTGTGCTCAGCACGGAGTCAGAAAGGCAGGACAAAGAGGGTTTCAAGCCACCTGTGCATAAACGTGATTAAGGGAAAGCCAAAAGCAATTTTAATTGTTGATATAAGTTGGGATTTCATGGGATGTGCTGACTCCAGCACAAAGAATTGCCAGTTCAGGGTTGTCTTCAGTCCATTTTAAAATTAAGTATAAGAATACCTCCTCACTTCACAGAAGTATTTTGAACATACTTTTAAAATACCTAAAATACTTTTTTACGAGTGCTACTGGTGAACACTGAGATAAGTTAATGTTGAAATTAATAATTTCTTTTTCTTGTATATATATTCTGAATAGTGTACAGTAAAGCTTATAGACATACATTGAACAATGAGGGCACAATAGAATATCAGCTGAGTTCTGTCTGAGTGACGCAGGAACTGATGGAAAACAGCTTGCCCAGTGGTGGAGTTAAAATCTGTATCAACCCACAAATGCAGAAGTTTGGGTTATTTAACATTGCACCTGCACCCCTGGTTTTGTCATTTCATAATATTTGAGTGTTTGATTTTGTAACTTTTGTTCCTTATTGTGTTTGTTTCAAACAAATGGGGTGAGGGAGGAGAAGGAGAAATGCTGTTAGATTGTACCATATTAATAATCTCATGGGTTATTAGTAGGGATGCAATTTAGATCTGTGACGTCAAGCTCTATCGTTGGTGTTCAGGAGGAGCTGCGACAACAGCATAAGAATTACATGTATCAGAGAGAAAGAAATTCTGTGCTTTGCTACTGGGTTTCCACTGACAGTAGAACGGGAAGAGCTGAGGATGTTTGGTTCACAATTTGGGTCCCACTCAGGTTCCCACTTTTATTCTGCTGTCTGCTTGGTCACAATCTGATTGTCTTCATGCCCAGTCTTCCTTTTCCTTTCTCACAGTTACCTCTTTTTCTAGCTCTGCACCTTCCCTCATTCTAGTCTGGAGTAAAACTTATACTGTATTTCTTCTTTTTTTTTATACCTCCTGTGTTTTCTAAATAGCTTCTTACTGTGCACTTGTGTATGTCCTAGTGGCAGATTGTAGAGAGCACAGGGAAGATGGACTCTTTGCTTTTACTACTTAATGACAGCACAGTGATGCTGTCATTAATGACACAGTGCTGGGCTTCTTTCTAGCCCAGCACAACATCAGAGGAAATCTTACTTTCCTTTTGAATTGTCTAGTTATTTCATGGAGAGAACACACGTACAAAGTTGTTGTGTAGGGTTGACACATGTTTTGTGTTGCTCTCAAGAATCATCTATGAAAGGTCTTGTCAGCATGAGCAGCTGGAGGAGTAGAGCAAACTGTAAGGAGAGGCCAGATTTTGTAATCCTGCATGCATGTACAAATTTTTTTTTCCCCAGAATATTTTTAATATACACACAGGGTCCATGGCCTAAGCATCACTTCAGGCCAAAATTCAGATCCTTACTCCGACAGAAAGAGGCCATAGGATTTATCGGAACCAATTATTTTAGCTTTTTTTAACATTAAAACCCCTATTTCTCATTCTTAGGAGCAGTGGAATCTGTGTCCCTGAACCTTTTGAGGAGTAGCTGACATGGCAAGCTAGGCAGATTGTCAAAATTATAAGCAAATGCTTACAATATTGGCTGCCAGCCCCAAGTGTGATGCTGAACAGTTATTTCTTACGTGACACCGTGGCAACAGCTACAAACCTCAAAGACTTAAATGGGGTTACTGCAATTTTTAGTTCAAAAGTATGGTCTTTAACTTGTCTGCCGCTATAAAACTCTTAATGTGTGAGTGATGAATAATCTGGTATGACACCAACTTTAGCCTGTGATCCTGATAACCAAATTACATTAGCCAGTTATTCCGGTAGAAGCTTGAACTGTTTATTCTAGTCCAGTAGCTAAGTGTTCTGTGTCTCCACTGTGACGTGAATTTGACGCGTTTACTGTCAGACTTAAAATACATTTAGAGATCGTATATTCATGTTCTGCCTTTGCCTTTTCAACAAGGTGTTGAAGTCACAGTAAAAATGGATTTAATAATTGAGATATGTAAATGTTAGTGTTAAATTCACGCATGTTACCAGTAATATTACACTCCATAATTTTAATTAATGCATTTTAGTAACCTCCTTGACTGTCTGGCTTGAAGTGTATTAACTTTCTGCAAAATACTATACTGTTACAGTAAATAAGTAAAAATGCAGATAACTTCATAAAGTAATTTCACAGAATCTATATGAAAATATATATATTCTTTGAGGTGACAGGAAGATTTTATCTAATATTGAACTTAAAAGGGTTACTATATTTTTCAGACACATTCAAGTGTTGTCTTTTTTAAAATTCATCATTGTGGTGTTCTGTCTAATAAAAATTATTTTAAGATGAGTTAGTGGTATTTTTGTGGGATAAACTACAATATGAACTATCACATCTTGGATGATATTGTTTGATAAGCATTTTATGTCAGGAGTCATGCACAAAGTGCATTGGCTTAAAATTAAATATGATTTTAAACATTTAGTATGTAATATTTGGAATTAGTTACTAGTTAGAATTAAACTACAGGGACTGAGTTCATAGCTCATGTAATAAAGCACAGCAGATCATGTAGGTCCACAGGAAAACTGTGAAGATCCGTGAATTTACATTGCTCTACACAGTTGACAAATCCCAAATATAAAAATACAAAATAGAGTTAGCAATTGCAAGTGTGAAATGCAGGGTTTGTTTTCCACATCTGACTGGTTAGAAGAAACGGGAAGAGAGAAAACAAAGGTGTGTGTGTGAATGGTAAAGAACCAACTCCCAAAATAATCTTTCACTGATAAAAAACTTCTGACACCAGAGTGATTGTTGCTTAATTACACACACAAAAAAAGGAAGTGATCAACCAGGACATTTAAAGATCCTTTGACTTTTATGGTAATGGAAATAAACTTCAGTTCTGAAATAGGTACATTTTATCTCAGAACTGAAGCTCTGACTATAACTATCGTTATAAACCTGTGTGCATATCTGAACACACAGGGTTAAAGTGCTGTCTGTGACTGAATCATTTGTGTGCCTCAGTGGTCCTGTAATGAATTATGAGGATGGTGACATTAATGCTTGATACTCTGAGTCATCCTGCTGCTGTGTAGCATAGAGGGACCTATATTTCATATTCTTCCAGGTTCCCTATTGAAGCTTCAACCAACAACTACAGCATCGATCCTCCTTGCCAGTTTTCCTTCCACTTCATAGTTTTTCTTCCACATCTGTATTTATTCTCTTCTTTCTCCCTGCAAGTAATTGTGCCGTGGTTTTCCTCTGTCTCTCTGTCTGTCTTTGGTTACCATCTAGCAGAGCCTGGAGTACATTGGGCGTTGGATTGTGATACTGGGAGTTTGAAGAGTCATTACAAACTACTTTTGTAAAAGTAATATGTTGTTCAAGTAGGCGCTGGTTAAACTCTTAGATCAGTTAATATACCATGAAGCTGCAAGTAAACCTTTTTAATTATTCTGAAAGTGAAATTAGGGAAAGCAGTAGTGAGAGGGACGGTCACAAGCTCTTCAGAATCCTAAATCTGAGCTTGTTAATGTCATTGCATTTGGCATTAAGTACTACAGAAATATTCAGCTAAATGATTAAAAACTGCCTGTGATTGGATTACAAAAATTTGTGTACTAGCAAAGCTGAATGAATGCTTTATTCATCTCTTGAAGAGTTTCACTAAGTGGTACTTGAACTATTAAATCAAACTGCATTTTATAAAGGACATTGACTACTTACTTTTTCATATATTGTCATTAACAAAGCGGTCCTACATTAAATATTTCAGTAAGTCTTACTTAACAGTCTAGTTCATATGCAGACGTGTTTGGGCTAAACTAGCCTGAAAACTCAAACTGAACTTGTTCAGTAAGTTTCTGACATCCTAGTGGAAAATTCAGGTTCACAGAAGTTTCAGTGCAAAAGTCTTCCTCCTGTTAATCATTAAGCCAAGATCATTTGTGCTCCAAGCATGGGAGCCCTGGAGACCTTGTCTGTCAGAGGCTTTAATAACTGCCATGGTACAGGTGTGATGGGTAGGTGAAATTCTTTTGACAGATACAAAGGACATTTATTTCATTTTTGCACTTTTGTCTGGGACTTTGCATTTAGTTTGGGAATTTGTAGGGACAGCCTAAGCACTTCTGTTCCATTACGTTGTCTTTATTTCTAAAGAGGTGATTCCCAAGACACTTCGCTTCTCATCTCTCTCTGTTCTCAGTAGTAAAACTGGCAAAGGGGAAGACTAAGATACAATACAATCAGTGTACACACAACTGTTTATTTTCTTGTGTTTAAAAAAAAGCTTTTCGTAAAAATTACTGCCAAGCATGGGTTTCTTATTTACTAGCCATAACCATTCTGTGCACTAGGCTGGTCCAATTTTTATTTATTTAATTTTTTTTAATTCAGGAGGGGAACTCCGTCCCCCCAAACTCCAACCACTTCCATCTTGGCTGTATTCAAAAATATTTGCACAGGAACTATTAAGTTATTTTTTGACTCATAAATGACATTATCTGCTTTGGGGTTTTTTTTGTTTGTTTTTAAGGTAACTTTGTGAGAACCATTTTGCAGCCTGCCATAAGGTTCATGGAGAGTAAAGCTGCTGTTGTGATTCCAGAAGAAGGAGCAGGACATGTTTTCCAGTGTTCTGCAGAAGCAGTTGGATTAGATGGTTCTCTTACAAACCTCACAGATGGCAAAGATGCTTCCAAAGGCTCTGCAGCCATTGCTTGCAAAACAAAGGATATGGAAACATCACACAAGGGAGAAAACTTGGAATTTTCCTTTCTAATAGTAAATGATAAAGAAGGAGACAAGCAACTTTTTGTGGATCTAGGTAAATATAAGTGCTTTTAAACCTTTTAAATCTCTTTGGGATGCAACAAAGGTCAAGAAACGAGATGTTCCTTAATCTTTTATTACAGACAGTAATAACAATAGTGTTCTTATTGTCTCTATGGTCAGAATTTAACCCAAATGCAATACATGCTGAAAGTGTCAGCATAAATGCTGAAAGGAGCCTTGGATTCTTGGTCCATGGAATTTCTTATATTACTACATTTAATTATTTTGTTCTGAAGTTTGAAGAAACTCTTGCCACACAAGACTCTTAATTAATTTTGTTCCTAAGGACTTGGTGCTCCTATTTGGATTAAAAGAGGATAGTATATATTGCAATTTTGTCATTTCAGTTGAATTAGAAGTTGCTTAATTACGAAACAAGTATTAACTGGTGTGGCCTCCTGTTTTGTTCTGCGTGCATGAATTGAGCCCGCTTCCCCTGTTTGGAAGGGCAGTTGTTAGGCTGTAATGACAGAATAGAAATATTGGGTTGGGCACTTCATGCCCCAGTTGTGCTTAGCCTATTCATGGTATTAAAATGTTTAAAATCTCCAGGAGCTCAACACCTGTATTCAAACTAAAGTTTGAAAGTTCCACCCTTCTCCACCCCCATACCTGTTTCTCTGCTTTCTCACCCTGTCTCAGTGAAATTAAAATAGCTCAGTATGCTTTTTGTACAGCCGTGGTTTACGTACTTGAGGACTGCTTATCATGTGTTTTCTGACTTCTCTGGAGAACCCCCCCACACTCCTTCAAGTTCTTCTCATGGAGTTCAGGATCACTTTGATTGCTGGCCTCTTCAGTGTGTCTGATTTGTTGAACCATAAGCCCAGAGTTGGCCTTCCATTAGGCTTCTCTGTTACCGATTCAGAAGGATTACTTTGCACCTACTGCTCAAAATGCATCCAAGCATATTCGTGATGGAAATTAAAGAAAAACAAATTGTTTACCGTGTCACTTCACTTTTTAAGAATTTAATGGTAGTCCCCAAAAATTAACCATCCTCGATATTCATGTTGCACACACATTACCTCAAAATTGGAAAGCTAAAATCAAAACAGCTGCAATACTGAGTTACATCAGGAGGCTGTAGTGGTAGGAAGGGATGTGACATTATTTTTATATAAGGAGATCTTTTAATTCCTTTATCTTCATGAAACCCACAACTAACGCACGCACTTCCCCACTACATTCTTAGATTAGGCGATGTTTATGATACCTGTTCATTTTTTGTTGTTTGTTTTTGAGACTGGAATTAAATTTTCCCGATGTGTACTTCACAGCGTGTGTGACACACAAGTGGTGTCTGGTACACAAAATCCAGAAGTTTGATGGACATGAAGTACTTGCTTCATAAAACAATTGTGTGGCTTCTTACGCTCAGCTGTATTTCACAGTGTTCATGTGAAAGCACCATTTTTTAATTTTTTTTTTACTGAAAGAAACTTTTAGCAATGATAATGTCAAAATTATTAACATGCCTATGTAGAGCGTTTCTTAATTCTTTGGTAACATACAAATGTACATGTGTGCATGATCTTGCTTTGTTGCATTTCTTCTATGGGAGGTGAGCTGGGTCTAAGGAAAATTGCTTAATTTACAAGTACTAAGTATCTTAAATCCTAGCCAGGATTGTTATCTTAAGAAATACTTGTTTTCCTGTAGGAGTTTATACAAAGAATAGAAATTTCCGGATGTATAAATCATCAAAAGCAGGAAAAAATGTGATTCTGAAGATAGCAGAGGATAATAAGTTTGTCCCCAACTGTGAAGAGAATGTTTCCTTGGAAGAAGCGTATTTTCTTTCCTCTTTGATCTGCAACGTTAGGTAATTGTTTAATTCCGACTGAATTGAAAATATTTTTAAATACATATTTTGGTGATTTTTGTCCTGCAGCAGTTACAAATAATAACTAGCAATGGGCAGCTATTTCATTAACATTGTTACAGTGTAATTTAGGAGTTTCCAGCAGAATTCCTTGTTTTTGAAGACAAACTTTCTGGGGACTTCTTTGTTTGTTTGTTTGTTTTTAAACCTCCCTTCAAATGTTTAAAGAACACAGAAGGTGCGGTACAGCTTCCTGAGTTTTGCCTCATTTCTCTATACACACTCAAAATGCCAAAATGTAACTATTATTAAGTTTGGTCGGATTCTGTATAGTTCTTAAAGGGAAAATTACAGATTTCCAGTCAATCAAATACAAAGAGTCTAAGTATTTTCTGAAGTATGATAAAAAAATAAAAAGGATTTTTGTACATGTTTACTTGCATACCAGATTTCCCATTTGGCACAGAGACCTCCTTAGACTGGATACTGGTATGTATAATAATAAAGTTTTCTGTATCTCATCTAAACCTCTGATAGACCATGGCCTGCACCGACTGGATCTTAAGATGATCCTTATCATTACTGCAGCAGAAAGAAGGTTAAAATGGTACATCCAGCTGTATGATATTATACATGTTTTTAATAAAATTACATTTCTTGTGACTTCAGTTTTTATATCCTGACACGTTCATTATCCTGAATGGATGGCAGTAGCCCTGCAGTATGAATTGTATTGTGAATTGACATCGTAGGTAGCAGCTGAGTCTGTCATAAATGAGGATGAGAAATTCTGCTGTGTCATCATCTGGCTTCCAGCTAGTAATACAACAAGAAAAAGCAGTTCATTGTAGAGAGAAGGAAAAATAAATTGAAAGCTTCCAAAGGGTATATATGTATAAATATTACATCTAGAGCAAATACTGTTGTAAGTAGTACAGCAGACCAGCGGTCTTTAAATGGCTGGGTCCTGGGATTTTTGCCAGGAACCAAATTCTGCTCTTCTGAAGGAAGAAACCTTGCCCTCTGCTGGTACAAGTCAGAGGAAATCGTTAAAATGAGAAGAAAAAGTGCTACAGGGATAGTAAAAGGTAGCACATGCAATCACAGACTGGTTGAGGTTGGCAGGGACCTCTGGGGTTTGTCTGGTCCAAGCCTCCTGCTCCAGCAGGGCCACCCAGAGCCAGTGGCCCAGGCCTGTGCAGTGCCGTGTTATGCCACACCATCCTATGTTATGCTGTAAGAGTCACATTTTCCTTTGTGTTCTCTCTTCAGAGCGAGGGATGACACAAAAGTTCTGTCATCTGGATTTTCAGAGGAGGAGAGAAAAATGTCGGCTTTTTTAAACAGCAGAGCTATCAGAAGCAGCAGAGGTACTTCAAGCCTTTTCTGCTGTATAGAAAAAAAAAAAAACAAAAACAAAAACAAACTCTTAAGTTATATGTACTGTGACTTAGACACTTGCTAACCTCTCGGAGAGCTTTTCTTCAGCTGGGGTTCTGCAGGAGGCAGAGTACAGCTGTACTGAAGGATGCTCTGCAGGGCTCGAATGCCATTTACCCGCCTCTTGCACTCCCAGAGCTGTTACGCTTTGTCCCAGTCCACTCTGTACCTTGTGTGTGTGGGTGGGGTGCAGTTTGAAGGTCTACAGGAAGTTAACACTGGATTTATCCCTGGTTTTACTTAAGGATTTGGTGTGATTCATGTACATTTGTCTGTCTGTGGTCTATATAATGTGTAACAATTAGATACTATAATGACAAAACCAGTAAGGGTATGTATCTGTGATCTTTGTTTTAACAGATTCCGTGGAAGGTTATCAGGATTCACCATACCCAGAAATTGATTATTTTGTTCGTTCTTTGGTTAACAAAGATGGGGTGCAAGGAGGTAAAGACCACTTTGCTATTTACAAATGAGTAGTGCACAGCAGTATTTTTAAGGAATTACTTTTTTTTTTTCCCCCCAGGGATACGACGGTGGAATTATTTCTCTCTGGAAGAAATACTTGTATATGATATTTCTGGTTACCGTTGGTGTGATAATATTGGAAGAGCTCACAAAAGTAACAATATAATGTATGTTCCTTAACTATTCATTTTAAAACAGATTCAAAACTCTTATGGATAGAATCAGAACCTGTTACAGTTTCTGCTCTCTTGCTCTATTGGGCATAAAATGCCTTTTTAAAAACAAAACAAAACACCTCCCCCACATAAATTTACTTCGTGATGCCTGAACTTGTATTTCTGATATCTCTGTGATGTCATCTTCGTGCTGTTTGAAGTATGTGCCTAAAGATGCTAATATACAAGTATGTTAAAGCTCTTAAGTGGTACTGTGCTTTGATGTTTCTTAGCTAGGAAGCTGAACAATCAGAAATAAGATAAAGAAATTTAAATTCATTTACAGTGCATCTTAAATTACATTCTTATGTTATTAAAATGACAAAGGTTACTCCTGCCACCATTTCAGTCAAGATGAGTTTTGCTAGTGACCCTACAAGAACTCAAACTCTTTACAGTTTTAGCAAAATAAGTGTTGAAAAGTCAGGTTTTTCAGATTACATTAGAATTGCAGTATATCATTAGTAGAAATATTTTAACTTTAAAATAATTCTACATAACATTTAAAATAATTGAAAAATAAGGAATGTGGTATTAAAAAAACCCAACCCACCGCCACTATGCTAGATGAACTCTGTGTTTCTGAAGCACAGCTGAAAAAGCTGGGTTGTCTAATCAGTTGACAGGAAATTGTGATTTTATCTGGCTTTTATAATGAAATTATCTGTAACAGCAGCTGCAACAAAATCTTATCTTACAGTTAGGTCCCATATACTCCTCTTACTTTAATGATTTCTTTCTTCCAAGCTTAATATAATGAAGTCTTAAATAAGTTTTTAACTTGAGAAGCCTGACGTTTATTGAAAAAAATAAGACTGTACAAGACATGTAGTAAGGACGTCAGAGTATGAAAGCAACAGCCATAGATGGGGACAAAAAACCCCTGTTTGTTTAGTGTCAGAGTTTCCTACAAGTGAAGTGAATGCATACAGCATTCACTTCATTTATGTACTGTTACTAAAAACTAAATTATTCCATTCTTAGGATTCTGGTAGATCTAAAGAAGGAAGTCTGGTATCAAAAGTGTCACGATCCAGTCTGCAGAGAAAAAAACTTCAAATCACAAAGTATGTATTCTGTGATTTCAAAGCGATTATACTTAACACTTTTTGGAATGTTAACTTTAATTAATGCCATGTATTTGATTTAGGTTTTCCATTACCACCTCGGATATGTCTCCCTTTTCTTTTCAAAGAGGTATGTTTTCGTCCTGTCCATATGCTGAAGTTCTTGTGAGTAAAGCTGCCTCTGGGAGTCATTGTAAATCCCCACTAACGCTGTCTGTTGAGCTCCATAGAGTAGTTGCACAGGTATGGAATAGCTCCCCAGAGCAGCTGTGCTGGTGTGGTAGCACTGTATATTCCTTTTTAAGTTCTCCAGCAGCAGATCAAGCGCAAAAACTGCCAGCACAGATAAAGCTAAGTGACTAGAATAGCCTGACTTCCCCTGGGACTATAGACTTTCTTCTGGTTTGGTCTGAGCAGCAGTTCCTGGTGCATAAACCACGAGACCACTGCAGGTGCAGAACAGAAAAGCTGCCCAAGTTAAGCTCTGCTCTGCTGGGCCAGCTAAAAAAGAAGTGCTCCTGGAACACTTGTGTCAGTCAGAGTCAAATATAAGTCAGTGACCCTCAAATTTGAAGTTCACTTAACTCCATTTTAGTGTATTAAAGCAGCTGTGTTTACCCACACGGGAAGACTATTTAAACCGACCCGATACTTCACCTAGATTCTAAGCCCTGAACAGAAGTTTTTCTGCTGAGCAGGCAGTAAGAGTTGGCCTCTTTGCAGCTTTTAACTTTCATACTGCAGAATGAATGGCACACTAAGCTCTACTTAAGCAGATCATCAATAGCTATTAGAGTTATTTCATAGAAAGCGTAATAATTGAAATGCATTTTCAGATCCTGACAGTATCTTTAAACAGACACTAAAATTAGTTTTGACCTTGTATTATTTTAAGAGGCTGTATACAACAGACTACTTGTAGTTTGCTAGAGAACCAGCAACCAGCTTCCACAGGTTAACATGGCTATGAATTAACCTGCTGGAAAATCTGTCATGCTGGCCAGCTTTCTCTGGGATCCCGTGTGTGTGACAGTACAAGTTTCAGACTGTCAGATCAGAGCAGTTAATGGTATGAAGGCCATTTTCATACGGAATAAATAGTATTCTTGTTTCGAAAAGGAAGAAGAGTATACACTAACAGACGAAAGGAGAAACACGGAAGAAAAAGTAAAACCACATTCTAATGGAGCAGATTTGTCCAAAAGCTCCGTATTTCTAGAAAAAAGCTTGTCTCAAGACTTCCTCTTGTCAGACAGTGAGTGGGACAATGCAAGTGATGATGCCAGTTTCCTAGAAGCAACTGAAGATGTGGAACTAGCTGAAGCTGCAAATAACAGCCTAAACTATGCCATGGAAGAAGTGCCTGATGAATTTCTTTTGGAAGCTTTACAGGAACAGGACACTTGCAATAAAGCAGCTAACCACAGACTTGGCTAGCAGACCGCTAGCAATGAATCCTGCTTTAACACAACACGCGTATCATGTGCCTTCTGGGAAAGATCCTGTCATTTAGTTCAAAACTCTTCCAGAGCTGTAAGACAAAGAACTGTTACTGAACTGCTACTCAAACAAGTGTCCTCACAGCTGGGTGATCTACAGCAAGCATAAGGAGATCATGGAAGATCACACAGGGGTTGAAGAGTACTGGACTGAAAACTCATCATGAATGTTGCTCCACATTTAGCACTTCTAACACTCACTGCTGTGCAGTTTCCATATTGTTAGCTGTGTGCCCAAGTTTTACTGATAAGCCAAGTAAAATAGATTTCTTTACTTTCAGAAATGAGAGGAAATTATTTATTTCAAATACAAATTTAATAAAAAGATTTGTCTATCAATCGTCCAACTAATGTCTAAGTGTTCTCTTTTAAAACTATATGTTGCTTTCAAGGTCACGTCGCTTTAATAGCCCTAGATTAAAAAGTGACATTAACAGAGCACAGAACAATTTTACTACTTTAACTGGAATTGCTGTTTCATTAATTTCAATGACTTTCTGAGTAATTTCTCACACAGACTGACAACAGAAAGATACAATCTCTTGATTAAGTCACTGACTTTTGAACACTGAAACAAAATACAGCAACAATGATTAAACAGGCTTTAAGTACTAACCATTCTAATAATTGTTCCTAACAAGTGTCAGAAAGTACTAAAAACCACTTAAAGTTTCTTTGATAACTTCCCTCTTTGTACAGCCAGAGCTTCTTCCAGTTTCGTATTAATATTCTGAAAGTGTCTTTCTGCTCCTAGAATTCTCCGTGACTCCACCAGAAGAGCAGGTAGGCTGGAAATTCCATACTGTTGTTAAGGAAATAAAATACAAGGCAACATTTTTAACTCTTGGAAAAATCACTTATGTATCTCTATTTATTTTTCCTCTATCTGAAATGATGCAATGTGATTTTTGAAAGTGAAGTAGAGCCAACATTAGAAATGATTGGATTTCCTTACACATGGCAGGCATGTAGCGTTGTCAGCAGCAAACACCACAGCAGGTCGTGCGCCATGGTAAAAGGGAGAGGAGTTCCAGGACTACATGAGAAGTTAACCTGGTCACGCCCTACAAGTGCTGTTCGTCGCATTAAATACCTTACAGAACAGACATGCAAGTACCAGAGCTTTCCCACCCTGGAACAAGAGCAACTAAAGAAGTTGATCACTTCTTTCTCACTGGTAATCTTTCTTCAGTTTCTCTACAAACATGTTAGACCTGAGGACAACTGTTACGCTTCTATGTCCTTTGAATCCCTCGACATAGACAGCAAGGTAGCAGAATCCTCTCTGAAATACTTCAGTTTCTAACATGAAAGCAAAACATGAGCGAGATACTGCAGTAGCAACGATTCTTAAGTGGCTTCCACAAAGACAATTAACAAAATACTGCTATGCAATGTAAGTTAAACATTAATAGAAATGCCCATCAGTCCAGGGAATTAAAAAAAAGGGGGGAAGGGCTGATCCAGAACAGTTCAGAAACACACGCAAAATATGTACTTACTACCACTTTCTCTTTTGGGTTCTCTTCTCTATAGTCCAAACAGTCTTGCTGTAGCGTCTTTAAATCAGTAAATAATTCAGTTGCCTGCCTCAAGGAAGATTTCCTTTCCTGTAGCTCAGCATATTCTCTTTGTAGTTTTATCAGTTGTGATTCAGCTCTGAAAAAGATCAAGGCTTTGATGACTATATCTGCATATTTATTTCAGGAGTGACTATGAATGTATTTCCTCTGAAGACAACTTAAGGGAATCGTTAGTCAGAAATACAAAGCATAGGTTACTATAACATACTGCTTAATTAGAACAACAGGAGCATGGGTCCAAATCCACAAAAAAAGCCCCAAAGTTTTTTTCCTCATCTCACTTTTGAGCCTGATGAAATAGCCACTCTCTTAAGCACTTAAGTTTTTCAGGTAAAGTTTCTTAAGCACCCAGTGTTCTGCTTCTGCACACGCCTGCTCGCGGGCCGAGGTGTTCGGTGCTTACGCTGAAGCACACACAGGATCGACAAACGAGACACGCCTCTGCCTAAAACTGGAGGGCTCAATCCGCTAAATGAGCACCAAAAACTGAACACCAACAGCTATTTCCATTTAACAGTGTTCCAGTAAGAAAGCTTTTTTAAGATGATCAAAGGATTAAAACAACGAATAAATGTGGAGACAGCTTTCAATCTGTGATGGGGTCCAAACTCGTATTGAGGGATGCCTTTAATTAGTTCTTTGAGTGAAGTTTGCCTGCAGTACTGCAAACAAAACAAGACTCTCGCGGCCATAGAAGGAGCTTTTCATCTGCCTTCGTGGATCCAAGCCCGTGGTTCCCTACAGAGTTAACTTACAGCATGTATGTTGCATGCAGCTTCAGAATAAATCTTGTCACTAGTAACCAGCTGGATTTGGGGAAGTCTAATGGTTCTTCCAAAGAACGTAATTTATGTGCTGTGTATCTAAATGATGCCTCAGATTCATGCCAAGTTAAAGAAGGGGCATTGCATGGCCACATGACATGGAAGCAAACCACATACTAAGAGGCATCCCTGCCAAACTGCAAAGTGAAACATGTTCTCCCACCTCAAAACCAAAAATGCCCTCTGTATTACCTTTGTAAATTCATGATTCATCACCTTTGCAATTCCAATTGTAACTTTAGTGTCTTTCTTACGGACATATGGTCTGAAATACCATCCCAGTAACTAGTCAGCTAAGAGGACTTGCAAGAATGACTATCTAGGCAGCTGAAATATGGAAAGGAGAGGTTATCCCGAGCTTTTGTAAAAACAGAAAGCAATACAGAATGGAAGTAGTTTCATCAAAATAAAATGAAAGAACAAAGTTACTTTCACTTCTGGGTTACGAAACACCAGACTCCTGAAGTTCTTCAGGCTATTACTGTGCATCATTAGAAACATACCCAATTAGCTCTTCTCTGAGTTGCAACAGTCGCTGCCTTTTCTTTTTAGTGGCTGTTAATACCTGAAACAAATAGTGAGGAAAGTCTTTGAAATGGTTTCTGTAACTTCAAAGGCAAACAACTCAAGTTTCATTGCCTTATCTCCTTTCAGGTTTTATGCTTCTGATTCCGAGTGTGGAAGGTTCCAGGGTACCAGACCTTACAAACTGCCACATTTTACATTTGTATTTTAAACACTTTAAACCTTTTTAAAATGTCAAACTCTCATCTCCATCCAAAATTTCTCTTAAGGAACACTGGATTTACAAACAGTCTGTGACATTTTGAACTCAAACATGACCAACTCTGGCAGGTTTTTGTCTGTTTCTGTTTTACCAATCCAGACCAATACAAATGTATGTTCAGTATGGTTGCCATAACTAAGGAACTAAGCACAATTAAGCTTTCTTTAATACATTAAATTTATTATTAGTTTGGTTTTTTAAAAATTAGAATTTAGTAACTACAAATCTGATTTTAAACAAATGTATAAAAGGGAAAATAAGGATAACTGAGTGGCTGTGAATGCTAGGTGTGTATTAAAATTATTATACATTTTACATGCAGAGTAGCTTACTGTATCACCTCAAATTATCACAACTTTAGCACATGAATTGCTGCCTCCCAGAATAAGCTTTCTGTTGACTTTACTTAAATTTATTTAGTCATCAAAAAGTTTGTGGAAGAGGTTATTCTGGGCAGAAAGCCTCTGGCAGACAGTGCCTAACCTGCTCTTAAATACATCTGCTGTAGGGCATTCACCTCTCTCCTGATGAAACCACCGCAATGTTTTTCTGCTCTTACATTAGTTCCTCCTCCTGTCAACACTCCCCTGTTGCATTTTCAGTCAACTACTGCTCGCCCTGAGTGAACAGAGGAACTGCCTTCCTCTGAACAAAAATTTTGCATATCTTTACGGAATGCAGCTCCCTTAGACTTCCCTCCTTTAAACTAAGCAATCCAATTCTATCCTCACAGGTCACCATCTTTGCTGCTCTCCTAGATTTTATATATTCATCTATGTTTCTTGAGGTTAGCTCTCAATATTTAATTGGCTCTCCAGAGGCCTCAGCAGTGCTCAATAAAAAAAAAAAAAAAAAGAGTAATTGACATGCACAGATACCTACCCAACTTAATGTGCATTCCTTCTTTTCACACCAGTAGAGCAGTATACTGATGGAGTTTGTGATCCATCATATTACTCAGATCTTTTCCAAAAAACCTCTGGTAGTTCTCTATCCTCTATTTGTGCAGTTGATTCTGTAGTACAGTACACTTTTCTGTGAATTATTTTATTTCTTCTAATCAACTTACTGAAATTTCAATGCCCACCTCTGTATGCTGTACTATCTAGTGATATATATGCATTTACCTTGGCATTTTTTTTCTTCAGATTCTTTAATTCCTGGACTTCCACTATCTACAGAAGAAAAGAAGAATTACAGATTGACTATGGATCTTTATTTCATCTCTATCCTCCTAAAAAAAAAGCTGCAAGAATTATTTTGGGATAACAAAAAAGCTATTTACAAAAAAACAACCTTGGTTCAAAGGAAGATTACAAGTGTATCAGTCGTGTATTAATTCTCTCCTCTCTCTTCATGCCAGGGGAAGACTGTTGCACAAAATTAGTCATCTTACACCAGTCAGTGCAAGTAATAATCCTTGTACCAATTACTACCTAGCTTAATTTTTCTATAAGTTTATATAAAATGTATAAATCTAGTCATTTTAAAACTTGTCCATTCTAATGAATCACTTAGAACTGTAGTTTTAGTTCTTATCACAACTCCTACAAAGTTCTGAGTTTATTTTACTCATTGTAGTTAGCGATAAGAAATCTTAGTCTTCCGAGCTAGCACAAAGGCTACACACAACAAACTGTTTTCATGTTATTTATCCTGACAAGAGATTAGAAATTTTAAAGTAATAAAATAAATAATACTTTACAGTATCATAAAATAAATGATACTAAAACAATAGACATTTTGATTACAATGTAACATACAGCTCTAGTACCAGGAAATTGATTTTATTTATGGTGTACTTACAAGATCGGTGATTTGGTCCTTGAAAGCAGAACAGAAGTCACTGATTGCTTTTCTGCAAACACGTGATTCTATGCTTTGTCTGGAGAAGTCAGAGGGACAAAACACAACCCTTTAGTAAAGCAGATATCTCTTCCAAAAACATTCCTCTGAGTAAGGAATAAAACCCAATGTTAAGCAGCCAGGAGCACAGGCAAATGTGGCCTTTCATGTATTAGCAATAGCCTGTTTTCAACATTGAAAAACATCACTTGAGATGTGTTGTTCTTATGTTTGGAAAAATACTGAGTTCCTGGAGACCACCTTGGATCACACACAAAAAATATTTCTATCACAGAAACCTAATAATCATTAAAATTATATCAGAATGTAACCATGCAGTACTGCATTCCCTAAAGGACAGCCCACTAGCATGCAGGTAATTTGTTTTTAAAACTTTGAGTATCCAGCCATAGGAAAGCAGAATATTGACCTGTAATTTGCTGCTATCTTCTCAAATTCAGCCAGAACAACATCCAGTTCTGTGATATCTGTGGGAGATCTCTTCAGCTCTCTGGGACACCAAACCTGTACAGAACATGGGCTATCCACTGAAACAACAGAATAAAGATAAGCATTGTACAATTCAGGTACATGTTCCAAAATAACAGAAAAGTTACTGTACCCACCATTAAAATAACCATCTAAAAGTTATGAATATTTTAATATGCAACTTGAGAAGAGGAAAATGTGAATTATTTCATCTCTCTTTGACTGAGCAACTATGACAGACTTATCTGGGAACACTTTAGAATTTGGATGATCAGTTATATACAACTTATTTCTTATTCTTCAGCATTCCAAACAAGTCCAGGAGCACGTTATTACACTAACTGATAAACTACACAGTGTACTGTAGATACAGATCTTTGTGCTGTAAAAACTAGTAGCCTGAGCTTGGGCAACCTGCACTACTCAAAGAATCATGAGTTGTTACATCATATCCGTATACATTTTGTATTAATACCATATATGCTTCAAAAAAAGCTATACAGAAATATGTTTCTTTAAACTTTGCAATAGTATTATTAGCTAATTCCACAAAACCTTAACCTGCATTTCTTCACACACTCCCAAATGTTAATCTAGTACTTGAGTGTGACAGGGCACAGTTCAAAGGAAGCAAGATGACACCCAAGAAACAGTTTCTCTATACCAAAAATTGCCACTGTCTTGAAGCTCCCTATCTCAAAGGTCTTTCTAATAACAGCTGTGCCTGTGCTGTGAGTCAGAGGCGCTCCAGGCTTCCAGACCAAGGGACATATTGAAGCGTCTTACAGCCCCGTACCACGGACCCAGGTTTCCCTCCAAAGGGAACCAGGCTGCATGCGAGCGATAACGCACGCCGATGCTTTACCCCTTCAGGGCAGTAACAGGCAAGTCCAGGGATGCAAACCATGGGGATCAGGGCTGTGGGGCACACCAGCTCCTCAATTTAACCATTGTTAATTAGTGTCTCAACCAAAACTGAAACTAAAACCTCCCATTTCTAGAAGCAGTATGCTGCTACATATCAGAAATGAAAACCCTTGAGTTATGGAAAAGCACTCATCTTGAATGAGGAAAAGCCATATGGGAGTTTTGAAAAGTCTACTTTACCAGAAGGATCTGATATGTTCTTCTCTGATGGCTGCATCTTCTTTTTTGCCTGGAATTGAGTAGTATTCAGAGCCTTCTGTGATATGAAAAGCAGATTAACTTAAAAAACCCCATAGGTTTACTCATTTAAATTCTGAGCAATGGCAATTAGGCAGAACACACAGAAATATTTCAGCTTTTCATGACTGAAACGTCAATAACATTTACTTAGAGCTATTTCACCAGAATCACAGCACAGTGATCATGCTGCTGAGGGACAGGAGCTCCCTGACTGCACTGACTGACAAGTCAGGCACCGGCCATACAGCAGGAGGAACCCTTTATGGAGCACAGGGCACCTCACTTCAGCACGGTCATCGCCCAGTACTAACATCTCTCTGATCAGCAGTGCCTCCTTACCTCCCTTTTCACCCTCATTCTGCCCCAATTCTTTCTCTACTTACCCACAAGAGTGCTGCTTAGTCAGTTTGCTGGTGAAAGGCTATTGCTCTGTACTGAATTTTACAAAAGGATTTTCAACAATTCCAGTGAATTTCAATATGTAAAAAACTTTTATGCAAAAAACTGCATAGCTTCTTTTACCATAGGCCTACTTCCTCAAGTCTGCAGAAAGTTAACTCTTCCTCTGCATGCCTGGAAGCCAAGTGGTTTTTGTCTAATTCTAATATATTTTCAAAAATAAATTTCCTCAATGAAAAATTCAATTATCTCATAAATATCTTCTTACTTCAATACTGAACAAGTACAAGGGACTTCTATAGCATTTCGTATGCCATTCTTTAAGAACATACATTGCAGATACAAAGAAGACTTTCGAAAGGAGAACATATTCCCAAATGAGCAAGAGAACAGGCTACAGGAACACCTGGCTATTATACTCCCCATTGTCATGACAGCTGTAACTTTAAGCATTTCACTCGGCCATCTCACAGGAATACTTTGAGGATTAATTATTTGGGACACAATTAAATACTAAGGAAGTACGAAGAAACAAACGAAAGGTCTTGCTCCCCACTCCTCTCTAATGCAGGCATGGCATGAAGTCAGTTAAAACTAAATTGACTGAGATACTGGTGCAACTTTCTCTGTACCCCATTGTCCTTAGGGGGTTCATCCTCAGGATCAGCTGTGTCGAATCCTTGAACATCACTGTCAGGCGTTTTTGAGCGACGCATTTTTTTACTAGGAAAAGAAAAATACCCACACGTAAACCCACTACACACTGAGAAGAAGGATCTTCAACCATATAAACAACAAAACCTTAGCTTTCCGGGGACATTTTGTATTACTATGTCATTCAGTTTGTGTCTCCTAAATCAACTACATAAAAAGTTGCAAACAGCATATAAAGGGCATAGACTCTTCATCCCTCATCAGCAACCCTTGTGACAATTAGAAATCCATTACTAACTGACCACTGGGATAGCCATGTTGTTTTGAGGAGAAACTTTGAAACAGAAACAGAATTATTATTAAGGACAATTTAGCAGGAGAGGAGAAGGTTTTCTTGGTGGTAGGGCAGGGTCAGAAATCAAAACCCCCCAAAAATACACACTCTCATACAAGCTCTATTATTGTCTTGCTGTTTCATTCATAGAATCATAGAATACCAGACTGGAAGGGAGCTCAAGGACCATCTGGTCCAACCCTTCTTGGATATCTTAAATTTTTTTAATTTGAAAAAAAAAATTTTAAAAAAATACAGTAAGTACTTAAATCAATGTACTGCTTGCAAAAGGCAAGCACTAATTTATTCTTCCATTTCTTTTCTACACTGTCCAACCTTACTTATTCTTTTGGTTTCTCATCTAGGAAATTTTAAGTTAAAGCATCTGAGGAAAAACTGACAAACAGAACATTTTTCCCATTTAATCTAAAAATCTAAGATTAAATTAAATGCTGGCAATTTTTTTCACCAGACCTTCTTTCTGTATTTTTCCTTTGTGAAGCTGAAACACGACCAAGTGCCTCGGTTTGTGAATGTTCCTCTCCATAAGCATCCACAGCAGTACTGTGCAAAGGGTGATCTACCAAGAACGGAAAATAAGCCGTATGAAACTTGCTCCTATCTGTTCAGCAAAGAGCACAGACGTTCTAGCATTGCCTGCCATTCAGCATTTACCTAGAATTTTTGTGGTTTGCTCACTAATACAAAGGAAGTCTTGTTAAAAGTACTATTTAATCATTAGGAAAAATATATATAGTGAAAAGTTTCATAGTTTCTATACTCATCCACCCGCTGTTTCTTTACAACCAAAAGTGCATGAAAGCTCAGCACGTACGTATGGCATATAGCAAGTAAAACATTTTGTACAGCTTATTGAAAGTTTCTCTTTGCTATGGCATACATCAATCTTTTACACATCTAAATTTTACCTTTTTTTAAAAAAAAATATGGATTTCTAGCTGCTTTATTGGATGCTATAAGAAGACAGTTAGAACTGCTACAGAAAGTTTTTAAATGTAGATTCCTGAAGGTATCTATCAGAACAGATTAAAACTCTGAAAAACCCTCAGGTTTTAGTCTGCCTTCCATAGCATACACTCCTTTTTTCAAGCACATTGCTACAAAAATTTAGCATTAACTTACATTAGTATTAGTGGGCATCTGTTTTATAGTTTTTAACACGTATCACAGAAGCGAAGAATATTTTAATTTTGCAGACTTTCCCTTCCCAAAATCTTTCTGCTATATTGTTCTTTATAGCTCATTTTCAATGCTGTTTCTAGTAGTTACACGTCTATTTCTAGGATTTTCTTAGAGTAATAAATATTATAGCTGAAAAACAGCCCTTAGCATTTTCTCTACAACTTTTAAGTACACAGTTTTTCAAAGATTTTTCTGACTGACATTGACATATAAGATACATATATATATA